ATAAAATAAAAATTTTTACGTTTTATATATAATTTCTTATATTATCTATATATATATATATATATATAATCATTTTGTGAATCGAATGTCAAATATAAAATATGTATAAAAATTTTGTTTGAATATTTGTAGCCGCAAAACTAAAAATTTTTATTTTAGTCATTTATTGTATTTTTGTTTTTCTTATTTTTGGGATAATTAATTTTTACAACTCAATAAATATTTGATTATATATATATATATATATATGTGAGTTATACATAAATGAATAAATATTTATTAAAAACTTATTAAAAATTTATTTACAAAACTTTTTTATATTTCTAATTTTATATTTCAAAATTACTTTAAATACATTACTTATTCTTGGATTTTTAATAAAGTTTTTAATAATACTGAATAAATCAAAGATTTAATAATATAATTGTTATTGAATTTTGATGTTTATTTATCTTCAGAAAATTCTTAATTTTGAATCTTAAATTCATTTAAACAAATTCGTTTTCGAACAATTTTACGTTTAAAAAGATAAATATTATTTCAAATCTATATAATAATATTAATTATATTATAATTATCTGTCCATAAACAATCTTATTATTATCTACTTACTTATAAATTAAAAGCATTTCCATTTTCAATTTAAATTCGAATAATTTCCAAGTATAATTAAAATTATTTTTTTTTTTTGTATTATCTTTTTAATTCATTTATATCTAATCGCAAAATAGTCTAGTTATAAACTCAAGGTTTGAATACGATTAATGAAGTCTCAAATAATAAAATTATATTCGATATTTTCGAGTATTTTACTAATATATATATTTTACTAATAATTCTTTTTAAATTATCTGCTAACCATTCTGTATAAGATAATGATATGTTTATAAAAAGCGTAATTAATTTAGCAATTGAGATATTTACCCAAATAGACAGAACCTGTTCTATTGCTCACGGTCAGATTCTTGTCACGTGTTAGTTTAGGAAATCGGTGAACGACTCAAAGTTCAACAGTGTCGAAATGTATCTATCTTTGGACGATCCTTGACAAGATGTTTATTTATTCAACTGTATTTAATCAATGAGAGTATACTTACAACCAACAAATCTTCTCCGATTGATATAATTTCGATGAATTTATTTGAAAATTTTGATTACAAAAGCGGAATATTTATCAAACACGCGGTCGATCGCAGCCAGTTATAGTAAACAGACGGAACACTTGATTATACGATTTTCTGGCTATCTTTTAACGCTAATGGTGGGACGGCCGCGTGTCCGTCGGCCTTTCGTTTATTCCTATTGACAGAGACGGGGGAAGAAAAACAGGCGGGCGACGTCATTTCCGAACCGAGGTGAAACTTTCCGTGGCTTTGAGCCTTTGACAAACGGTCGTCCGTAATTGGATTCGTTTTATAAAGTTCCAACGAAACGTGCAGCTTTCTGCTATTAATTGGAGATGGTAAGCGGCGCGCTGCTACAGCGACGAGGAGAGTGCGGCTCGAGGTCGACGAGGGTGATTAATTTAATTCAATTACAAACCGACGGCAGATCCAGGGCATCGATTTTATTACCATTTCTCCTCGTCTCTTGTATCCCCGAGATCTTCGCGTTCGAGACCATCCCCCAACCGTGATGCCGTTCACTTTGCGTTCACATTCATCCACTTTTCTTGTATCCGACAAAATCGATTATCATCTTTAAAAGTATGTAACGATGTAATATTCTTCCTTGTTACGTATTATACATAATAACAAACGTAAATAATATTTTATATCTCTCTTTTTAATCGCGGGGATAATCATCAGTTTTCAAGAGGATGTCGAATTAAAACGCAATTCACGAATAATTATCGGTGAAAAGGGAAATTCATCTCTTTGATCAATTTGCCTAGAATCGAGTGGAATACTGAAAATCCGGTTGCGCGCTCGAGATTAACGAAATCTGAAGGGATTCACGGTGGAGATGAAAAGAGAAAGAGAGAGAGAGAGAGAGAGAGAAAGAGAGAGGGAAAGGAAGAGAGAAAAAGAAAAAGAAAGGAAAATGAGAGAAGAATTTTCTAGCAACGGAGATGTAGGCACTGCTCGGTTTTACACCTGCTAGCGTGTGGCAGTAGATCGTTCACTGGTTTGCATCCGTGGAAAACGCGGCTACCCGCCATTATACGTGCTTCACGCTCCTCGAGTGGAAAGTGATCTGATAGCGGATTTTTATAGCGCGCGAAGAGAGCTTTTCAGCGGCGCGTCATCTATTCTTTTATACCGGTGGAAATTTTTCGAGAAATGCACTTTTCAGATGAATCATCATTTTTTTTCTTTTTTTTTTTTTTCGTCGTAATCGCTCACTTCCATTTACATCCGTTTTCACCGTATCAATCGACGTCCTTCATTCCGTCCCCGTTTTAGGTATCATTTCGGCGAAATATCATCAAGAATTCAATTACACTTTGATACAAAACGTTAAACTATAATGGTGACAAACACGGGAACAATTTCCACCTTTGGCAAACACGCGATGTAAGGACATTGAACAATCCTCCCGGGGAGGCCGCTCCTCTTGTGTAGCCAATCTCTTCGTCAACGGTGATGTTCCGTGGTTTCTGTAAATCTCGCTCTCGAGTCGAGTAATTTGCCAGCTTGGCCGTTTTGTGCGTCGTTTACGCGGCGATTCCTCCCCCTCGCACCCGATCGGCAAATCGCTGCCATATTTAGAGTGGTTGCATCGTGGTATACGCTCGTGCGTGTACTATCGTACACATGCAGGATCGCGAGGGTATGCGGTGTACGTACGTCGGTTACGTAGCTACTTACGTTAGCTTCCGTGATACATGGAGGTCGCACCTAAATTTCCCCTGGGAGTCATACGTCTCTCCGACCTCTCGGCAACCCTCTCTATTTTCCCTGTGTCTGTCTCTACCCTCCTCTTCCTTCTCCTCTTTCCTTTTGCGCCCCTCCCTCCCTTCTTCGCGACGACGATCTTGCCTCTCGTTTTTTTGCCCCTCCGCCTCCGCCACATCTCGAACGTTTACCAAAGATGTCGACGCGGATGTCGAGAGGGGGGAGAAAAAAGGAAGGTGCATCCATCTCGTTCTCTCTCTCTCTCTCTCTCTCTCTCTCTCTCTCTCTCTCTCTCTCTCTCTCTCTCTCCTTCTTTCGTCCACGACCACATCACGGTATACATTAAAATAATTGTGCAGGGATGATGCAGATTCCGATCTCTTCCGGTGTCGCCGGGACATTCTCTCTCGTTTTTATCTCGAATTTCAATTCCTTTTTTTACATTCATCGCGATTCGAATTCGACGCGATTGAAGATCGTTAATGGATCTGTTTGACAGCGAGACCTGTTTCAATCTTTGATTCTCTCATTCAGATCTTTATACGGAGTGACTTTATTTATTAAAATAAAGTCGATGTTGACCGATTTTTATCAATCGCGGCGGTCATAGAAATTAAAATTAAATCAAGACGATCGCGTCCTAGACGATGGCATCAAGCGGATTAAACCGCGCAGCACGTTCTCGAGTGATATTAAAAGCCGCGATAATAAAGCTGTGTCGCGTTAATCCTATCCTCCCCTCCTTTCCCCCCTCGTGTCGTGCATTTTTAATAAAAACCACCACCCTCTCCCTTGCTCGCGACACGAGATCGCGCATCGCAGCAGAACATTGCCGCAAAGATTGCGCGCAATTTTTGCGGGAATACGTCTTTCTGAAATTATACGCGGCGTTTCATGCATACGTTATCGTAATGTTTAATAAAATGGGCGATATCGCGGCGTTGGAGGATGGCGTGGAA